CAGAAAGAACTGAATAATAATAATAATAACAAAGTTTATAGATGATTTAATATAACAGAATAGAAAAAAATGGCAGAAAAAAATTGAGTTGCTCTTTTGGAGAGATCAACAAAACTGGCCAATTTTTAACAAGATCAAGCATATAAGAAAAGAGCAAGAGTCAAGATGACTGAGTAGGTACAGGGAGTAGCTTACAGTCTCTCTAGGACTTGGAATAGACACACCTGGAAAACAGCCACCTAGCAAGGACAAAAAGGAGAGCTGCGGAATCAAGACAGAGGTGATAGGAAGCTAAAGATCACAGAGAAACAGAAGAGTAATATAGAGAAAAGAGCAAAGTAGCTGCAACACCAGTATTGGCTCCAGGATAGGAGGAGGGAAGCCAGCTCTGCAAATGCAAGCCTTTTACTTTATATTATTACCACTTCTTTCTTTTTTATTTATTGATTTTATTTATTTTTATTTTTTATTCTTATCCATATTTCAACATCTGGATTGTCCTTGTGTCCTTGCCACTACACAGTTTGTTTTCTCCTCTCTGAATGACAGCTGGAATTAGGATGTCAAATAGGCTGGACACTAAGATGACCCTCACATAAAAGTAGAAGAGATATTCTTCCCAAGGGATGCGCAAATCCAACATAGAAACACAAGAAGTATTGAAAAATAAAGCAACATGACTCCTTCAGTGGTCCATATTTGTCAATAACTAAAACAGATAACTTGCCAAAGAATTCAAAAAACTAATTCTTAAAGTACTCAGTAGTGACTCCCAGGATTACACAAATAACAGCTGAATGAATTGAGGAAGACAACTTGGGTGATGGAGGAGCAATTCAACAAAAAGATATGGACTCTGAAGAAGAATGAAACAGAAAATCGGGAAATGAAAAGCATCAATTTTGAAAGATAGCTTTTCAGAATGTGTTAGTCTGGTTTGGAAATTGTTTTCTTGTAGTGCTTGAAACAGTTCACTCCACACTCTACTGGTGCTTAAGGTTTATGTCAAGAAGTCTGCTGTGATTCTAGTGGGGGGCCACCCTATTGACTATGCCCAAAGCAGGCTGTAAACAGTGCAGGTGTTAACCCACTGCAGGGCCCTCAATAGGTTTACCTTTTAAGAGTTTTGTTGCTTTTCTCCACAGCTTTAAAGATTCCATCCTTGCACTGGAACTCTGGAACTTTTACTATGATGTGTCATGCAGAAGTTCTTTTCTACTCATGGCTATTTGGGGTTCTATATACCCTGCTTATTTTATATGAAATTATTTTCCCATAGTTGGGAAATTTCCTGGTATTATTTCTGCAATTCGATTTTTATACCATTTGTGGTGTCTAACTTTTCACTAATTCCAATCAATCTTAGATTAGTCTCCATTGCATTATCAAGCAGCTGTTGGTTCAGTTTTCCATATTCTCTTGTTTTTAAGGTATCGCTATGTATATGGTCACCTGCCTCAGCTCTCTTTTCTTGTTTTGTCACTATGTCCTCACATTGGTCACTTCTGCTGCCCACAATTTCAACAGAAATTTTTATCTCCTGGATTTTTCTTTGGTACCATTTCATGATCTCCAATCTTTCACTAAAATGGTCATTCCTACTTTGTATTGTTTTGTTTAGCCCAGTTACCTTTTTATTAGTGTCTTCAACTAATCATTTTAGTCATTAAGTTCACAAACTATATAGTTATGTCGTCTTTGAGCTTGTCATTCACCACTGACCTCTTTTTGTCTCCACTTTTATCATTCATATAATTCGGCTGTTTGGCTTTTGATTTTTTTTTTCCCCATCAATGCCCCATGAATCACTTTGGTAGAGTTTGGAGTTTGGGGAGATGTTTTGTTGACTTGTTTCTCATGCTTCTATTAGTTTGTGTCTGGATGTACTGAGCATTGCAGATCAATTACAGTGGGAAGATTTTGCTGCTAATATGGCAATCTCTTTAATTAATGCTGTTTTCAAGTGATGCACTCTGGGCCTGGCTATATATGAGCCTTTGCTGCCATCCCAACATCTGACCACCTCTGTTAATTTGGAGATAGCAGAGTTCACTGCTGACTCAGCACTTGGTTCTCTGGAAATTTAGCACAACATTGTTGATGATACAAAGACAAATCAGATATTAGTGTACAATAAAAATCAAGTAATAACAACGACTATGCCACCCTGGTAATAGCAACAAAATCAGCAACACTAATAGTCAAAGAAAGACTAAATATTTACATATTAGAAAGAATAAAGCTACCAGCGTATAAGCCTTAACAATAGAAAAGAGATCTGTTATTAAAATGCAGACACAAAGACAAACTAAATATGGACATATAGAAAATAATAGCACATCAATCATACCCAATTAACAATAGAAAAGAATTCAACTGTAGTAGCATAGAGTCAACTAATATCTAAAGATTAATGAAGCTTAATAGTAATATAGTACTACCAAAGATGAAAGAGTTGGAGGAAGGGAAAATGCAAGAAGCAGAATTTGAAAAAGAAAGAAAAGGAAGGCGAGGAGGAGGAGGGAAAAGTGAGTGATAAAGGATCCTATCAGTGAGTTAAAGAAAATTAATGGAATTAGGTTAAAGTAACAGAAAAGGAGAAACAAGGAAAAAAAAAAGTAAAAAGAAGATAGGAAACAGAAAAGAAAAAGAAAAAAAAATCCCTCCACCCCCTAAAACAATGAAGAAAAATGAGTCCAGAAATACTTCTGTATGTGTTTTAATGGTTTCTTTCCAGTTTCTGCAGTATCAAAAGCCACCGGATATGGGAGAAGTTTAATGAATCACTGCTAAGACCTACTTTGTTTCCACACTCGCATTTCTCTGTGTGAATGCTGAATCCTGCCTCTCCTTTCCTGCGGGTGTGGTCAAGGGTGCCCGCCCTTCACTCTAGTCACTGCCAGTTTCTGTGTCCCTCTGTGATCCTCCAGTCACGGCTTTCTCTGCATAGCTTTATGACCTGTGGGTTCAGGATGTAACTTCCTTCTCCTTAGATTCCTTTGTCTGTACACCCCAAGCTGTGGCAATTGTACAAGTCAAGGTGTACCCTTGATCACGTCAGCAGATAGGAAAAGCAAACAAACCTCTGAGCTCTGTCTTACATAGAGGGCTCAGACCCACTCCCCTCCAAAAGCCACACATGATGAGCCTGGCTTTTGCCAACTCAGAGGGTAAGATACCTGTGTCCTTCCCAGTCTGAGTTTAAACATCTCAGGAACTCTATGTCCAGCCTGTGGTTTCTCTATGGCTGTCTCTTGTGGCCATTTCTCTCCTGGTCACTGTGGTAGGTTGACCCCTCATAAATCTATATTCAATATTTCATGTGTACCTAAAACGTTTAGGGACTGCTACCTAAATGATTTCACTTCCATCGACCTAGACTTCCTCTTTATGTTCTTATGGTGCCAGTGATGCCCATTCTCCTGTTCACAGCTTGATCACAGCTCTACATTCAGGTTTCCAGTTTCATCTCTAATTATTGGATGCAACAAAACCCCTAGTGCTGAAGTAGCTGACATCACCTGCCAATCTTGAACCTTCCTCAGTGACTTAGGCTTCAGAGAATCAAAGCTAAATGTCATCAGTCAGCATTCTGTACCATTCTACTCCTGAAAGCAAGGGCCTGCTGACTCTGAAGTGAGGGATTAAATTTTATTTCAGGGCCGTATCTCAAAACCTGGATTCCACTGGCCACATCATCAACTATAAATTCACTTATTCACTTTGTCATCTTTTCCCACTTTCCTTCCTCCCTTTCTTTCTGGAACTCTGGTTTGACCTCCTCCTAACCCTTCTTTCGGCTCTCAAAACACTGAATGACGTTATTTTAGTACCCATTCTCACTGAATTCTTGCTCCATTCTCTACCAGTCAAGCCACAAATTATGTCTAATTCAGCAAGAAGACACCTTGGGGCTGAAATTTTGCAAAGCCTGGGTGCTTGTCTTAGTTACTTTTCTCAATACTAAGATAGAATACCCAACACCCAAAGTTAAAGGAGGAAAAGTTTATTTGGCTCACAGTGTATATAGATTCTAGTCCATAATCGGCTGGCTCCCAGACAGGGTGGCAGAGGGTCAACAGTTCATGGAGGACTGAAGGTAGCAAAGCAACAAGGGACCTTAACAGCATATTTCTGCCCCCTGTATCTTATCTCGACTACTTAGGGCGAATACACTCACATCTTTCCTTCTAGTGCCCTTGAGCCTAGCATTGCACCATGAATCAGTTCCAGCATCACACACTTTTTTCATCCAGCCATCTCTGAAAAAGCCCCACCTGAGACTGCATGAGGCTTTAGGGGGGCATTTAAACTTGAGCTATATCAATGCTCTTCCCACATGGAATGAAAAATAGCTGGTCACATGTTCCAGAGGCAGGGAAGAACATGCTCCTGCAGGAATGACCTGGGGTAAGAGGCATAAAACTGTAGTCTACACCCTTTTATTGGGAGGAGAGATTTGTGTGATTAGGAACTGTAAACTCTTCCTGGTACCACTGAAAAAGAATTGATACAGTCAGTAAAGATGGTACTGAAAAATGTTTTGTTTTGTTTTTTTTAAATGAAAAGAACATAATGTGGTCACACAATTACAAATGGATTAGAATCAAAAGAATAACATAGCAGACTCATGTACTACAACAGTCCAAACCCTAATACAATGTGCAGTCAGTCACTGGCACTCGCTCTCTCCATCTCTCTCTCTCCACATTGAACTACATTCTCAGCCCCTTCTTAACTTTCAGTTTTGAGACAGTCTCACTAAGTCACTAAGTTTCCCAGACTCAGCTCAAATGTGTGATGCCCTTGCCTCTGGCTCTCAGAGAGCTCAGATTACAGACATGTAATGCCATGCCCCACCAGCAGTCTTTCTCTTGATAGTGACTGGTACCAAGCCTGCAGCCAGACATTTACCACCCACCTAGAGCTGCTTGGAGGCCTGAACAAAGAAATTGGAATTCTGCCCTCTAGTGGAAGGTTGCCTAGGCAACCAAGGCCCACCCACAGCAACCAGCAACCAAGACCAGACAAGAGCTCAGCAGAAAATGGATGAGCCTCTAGAAGAGGTTCCCTCTGTATCCTTGAGAAATGAAAGTCCAGCCACATCCCCAACTGCTGGTCCCACTAACAACCTTGAAGATGACAATCAGCCCAAAGGGGAGGCAAATTACCACACAGACCGCCGAGTAGCTGACGAAGATACCCAAATAGTACATGACCAGCCTAAAGCCATCATAACTTCCCAAGCTGACCAAAAAGTATCTGAAGATACTGGGTATACAATACATGATCAGTTTGACCAACAATCATCTGAGCCAACTGATGGTAAGATGTCCAGCCAAGCTGATGATGTAGTATATGGACAGAATGACCATAGGGTATCTGGTCTGATGGATAGAACTGCTGAGCAGGTGGACTGCAGACTATCCAGCCAGCCTCACAGAAGGGCTTCTGAGCAGGTAAGCCCAAGAGTGTCTAGCCAAGCAGAGAGAAAAGCTTCTGAGCAGGTAGACCACAGAGGGTCCAGCCAAGCTGAAAGCAGAGCTTCTGAGCAAGGAGACCACAGATTGTCTAGCCAGGCCAAAGAAAGAGCTTCTCATCAGACTGATGACACATCATCTATGCCATCTGATGGAGGAGCATCTGAGAATGATCAAAATAGAATGCCTGACCAAGAAACTTCTGAACAGATTGACTTCAGGTTGTCCAACCTCTCTGGGAGAACTGAGAAAGCTGACTCAATCTTGTCTGATCAAGATGGACATAAAACAGCTACAAAGTTTCATGAAGTGTATAATCGAGCCACTAAACCAAATGAACAGCAAGCTGTCTACCAAGCTGACAGCAGTGCTGATAAATTTATGATTGGTAGAGATGCCTATAGTGACGAAGGCCAGGTTAACAATTTCATAGATACACAAGCTGACCAAGATCCATCTTACTATAAAACACTTGACCAGATTGAGGACAAAATATTTGCCCATTTCAGGAAGCAGGACAAACCGGATTATTACAGAATTCAGTCCTGCAAATTTGAGGCTAGCCATTTCTTAGACCTCAGACCCAAGCTTTCAGAGACAATAGAAAGTGAAAGTCCAACCACTAGCCAAGTCTTCTTCCTAGATGGTGCCAGACTCACCGATAATTTCCCACCAAAAGACCACACCCTTTGCACAAAGCTGCCCTCTATCTTGTCCAAACTGGACTCTATCACCACTCAAGAAAAAACTCGAGCCACAAAAATCAAACCTGTATGTAAAAAGGGCACTTGATACTTCCCGAGGGGTTAGAGGCCAAGATGGCAGTGGACGTGGCATAGAGCAGAGGGTGGGAGGACACGTGTTGGATCAGGGATGAAGAATAAACCCTCATGTTGCAGTATGCATGACCCATAAGTCTCAGGCAGGGCAGGAGTATGCATGGGAAATAAAAGAATTACATTGCCTCTTTTACTACTCTGAGGCCATACCAAACGGACAATGAACCAGGATTTAGAAAACCTGGGTTTCAAGTCCTGATTCTGCTATTAATTCTGTTATATTAAGTCATTTCCCCTGCCTGTGTTTCTACCAAGGGAAAGGAATTTGGAATTGACTGGAGACCTCTGAAAAGGGGAAAGTATTTGAAGTAGATTGGAGATGCCTAAGGTACCTCCCAGGGCTTGACGTGCATTTTATTGCCTGCAGGATGAGCTGGGTCTCTCATAAAAATATATCTTTTCTCCAGCTCCTGGTATTAAGATCCCATCAATACTAGATTCCACCCATAACTACAACTTCAAATTTTTCTGGAGCTCTTAGATTTATTTAAAAATTTTGGGGGGATATTTCAGTTACAGGATGATTTTTCAGAATTCAAGCAGGAAAAGACTTTTCATTCAGAGGAGCAAACTCTTAAGGGGAAGTTCCCTCCTATAGTTTATGAAGATCCTTATCAAGCTTCACTCCAGTACATGGAGAAGCACAACATCCTGCAGATATTCCAGGTAAACCTTCTCCCTTAAAATGGTGAGTTTTTCAAAAAGTGTAAGAAAGGATATTTGCTATAGAAGTGGGGAAATATAATCTAATTGAGAAGTCAGTAAGTGTTTTAACTGCTTTTTTTAACCAAAAGTAGTAAATGATAAACATCAAGTGATATCACAACATTAAGTGCCCCAGGAGGATTAGAGATGAGATGGGATCGTTGATACGTTGGGCAAGGCTTAATGTTTTAACCTATATAATTGAGTTGATGTAGGTGCAATATTTAAACATAGCTAAATATTTTTATACTTGAAATTGGTCTATTATTTTCTGCAAGTGAAATGTTTTTATTATAATTTTTGAGTTATACAACAGCCACAAAAACATATGGAAGTGAACCTCTAAAGTTTGATAGAGCCATTTTCTTTTAATATTGCAGCTGTGCATAACTTTTACCTTTTAGAATTAAATGTCTCAGAAGAAAGATTATATGTAGGATCACACCACATTTTCCATTTTTATTTGAAGGATATGTCTTCAACTACTCTTCAAACTAAGTAATTTACTATCAGCCTAGCAAAAATCACAATTTTTAAAACAAGGACTTTGCCAGAACTTTCTTACTACCTCTTTGATCTTGGAAACTACTATTTCTATTTATAACTGAATTTGTATTCCTTCAAATTTTATCATGATTTGCCTGCTTTTAACAGTGGTGAGAAAATTGTTCCTTTGTAGATACCCATAACTTTCTTCAAATTACTACAGTACATCTTAGGTTAGAGGGAAAATTGAGCAGTTATAACTTAACTACATAACTTTCTCTCTCTTAAAATGTGAAGCCTTATGCTCTCTCTCAGCAGATCACTGAAAACTTAGTCTTTGAAAAGCCAGAGGACCCCCTGCATTTTATGCTGTGCCAGGTATGGAATAGGAGAAAAGGAACCACCCTTTTATTCTCATGGTTGCAAAATATAGCACATATAGCAAATCATACAACAACTATACAACAAAATGTGTGCAACTCCTAATATCAAAATGTAAACATATATGTTCACATTTTTAAAAATTAAAATATAGCCAGCACCCAGAAGCCCTCCCTCCTCCTTTCCCTTATAATTATTACTCCCCAGAAAGGAATTGTTATTCTGACCTTTATAATAACTTCATCAATTTTTCTTTATAATTTTACTTCTAAATGTGAATTATGACATGCTTTTGTTTAGATTTGTTAGTCTTTTGAACTATATATAAAGAGAATGCCATATACTATTAATTCATTTCTATTTTGTTTGTTTTGTTCAAAATTATGTCTGTGAGATTGACCCACCCATTGTGTATGGCTGTACTTCACTTTCATTGGTGTATGGTATTCATTACGTGAAACTCCACGATGTAGCCATTCTATTTTTCATGGTCGCACAGGTTGTTTCCAACTTGGAGCTATTACAAAAAAACCTTGTTATAAACCTTCCTGTATATGTCTTTCTTAAGTACATATTTTGAAGAGTAGGTGATAAATTATGGAGTATCATGTTGGCTTACTTTAACAGATTATTTAAAACAATTTTCTAAAGTTATTGTACCTATTTGTATTCTCACCATCAGTACGTAATAGTTCCATCATTTTATCTTCTACCAGTATTCCTTATTATCAGTGATTTTAGCATTAACTGTTTGGTGATTGTCTTGGTTACTTTTTTTATTGCTGGGACAAAATATCCAACACGCGCAAGTTAAGGGAGGAAAGGTTTATTTAGTTCACAGTTTGTAGAGGCTTCAGTCCATGGTCAGCTGGCTCCAAGGCAAGGAAGCATGGCAGAGGAAAAAGAGTCCATGGCATGACAGGTATAAAGCAGCAGCAGCAGCAGCAGCAGCAACCTGCCTTTCCCCTTTATCCCATCAGACTACCAACCTTTTGAGTGCTACAACCCAGAACTATGCTAATTCCAATGAGTAAAATTTAGTACCACACCCTTAATACCAGTATCACATGCGCTAGACACAGCCAAAAATGGGGCTCCAAAAAGCCCCATTGATGAGTGCATGAGGCTGTGGAGAGACATCTAGATACAAGCTATAATCATAAGCAAACAGTACAAACTATAACATTTGTCTTTTCCTGATTACTAAAGCAGTGCAGGTTTTCATTTGTTTATTGACCATTTGGAAATACTTATTTATCTATTGTTTATCTTTTTCTTACTCATTACTAAAATATTTTAAATCTATCTTTTGAAGACAGAAATTATTTAATATAGTCAATTTTAACAATCTTTTTCTTTATGATTAGTCTTTCAGTGTCCTATATTAGAGGTCTCTCCCACACTCCTGACCATGGTTTCCTATATTATCTTGCAGCTTGTTTGTGATTTTTGTTTTGTTTTGATTTGTTTATGTTTTTTGAGACAGGGTCTCACTGCGTAGTTGAAACTGACCTGGAACTCACCTGTGTAGCCTAGGCTGGTCTCAAACTCACTGCGATCCTTCTGCCTCAGTCACCTGAGTGCTGGGATTACAGGTGTGTGCTACCATGCCCGGCTCTTGTGATTGGTTTTTCAATGGATAGGGATTAGTTTTATTTATTGTATGTTTGTTGCTTCACATTTATTCCCACAATAGACCTGAACTTGATTTCGTGTAGGGTGTGAGGAAAGATCAACTTTCATTTACTTTCAAGCAAATTTCAACTTGATCAAGCACTTTTTAGTAAAAGCTTGCACACTGTTCTTCATTTTAATCATACATTTTGTTTATTCTTATCTCAAAACAAGAGTGTCTTAATTAGTATATACTGCAATGAGTCTTTTTTTTTTTTTTTTTTTTTTTTTTTGGTACCAGGGATTGAACTTGGGCCCTTGTGA